GAAAAAGTTTACTTCATAATGGGAACCTCAGCCAAAGGGCAACCAAGCCCAACAATGCATGCCAAGGTGAAACCTGCCCATGTCCTATCTACCAAAAACCATATAAACTCTGCTGCAGCAAATAATATGTAGGCTTCAATGTTGTCTGCTATTCCGGCTTTGTAAAGTTCCGCACTCACTTCTATAAACAGCACCAAACATCTAGGGCAGGGGACAACCTTATGAGCTTTAAATATCATTTAGTTGCTTATTGTACCAAAAAAACAAATACTCCAATATATTATAGTTTTAGTTGCTTATTACACGTGTAAGATTAAAACCGTCATTTAATTAAACTAGGACTAAAATGAATTATTTTTTATATATTAAATATTTGTAAGTATTGTGATAACAATTTAATAGTGGTCCTATAAACTTAGCAATAATTACTAAAAGATTTAATAGTTGTTGGATAAACTTAGCAATAATTAGTAGAACATTTAATCCCGTATTATAGAAACATGTAACTTTTTCTGAAATTTGGATTTCATACTATAATGGGTAATGGGTAGGTACTTACATTAGTGAGAGAATTGTTTTGGGTAAAGTTGACTCTGGAACCTTGTTGGAGGCCCTGTCGTCAAGGTAGAGTTGAAGCAAACCAAGGGAGGAATAGAAGAATCCGAGCAAGAAAGGAACCTATGAAAATGAATTTGGATAAGATGGAATATGCAAAATGCAGAATGAAGGGAAGATAAAATAGAAGTTGAAACGCAAGCCACCCAAATGTTTGTGTGGAGTGGACCAATATGAATGGAGCCTGATTTGTAGAGCACGAGATTGACCCTTGAATGGAGTCCATCGAGAAGAGGGCCAAGTAAGAAGCCTGTGCCAAAAAGTGAAAGTGAGACCGGACGCCATGAAGTTCTCTGAGCACACTGAGCCTTCAGCTGACCCCCTTTGCATGTTCTGAGAAGAGGTTTAGTGTGGCGCAGGAAAGTATAACCCTCCACAAAGGAAAAGGAAGAGGAACCACATGCAACAAGGTATTGCATACTCAGGGAAAGAAACAAAAAATACTGGATTGGTTTTTGGGCAAGAGAAGGAATGTACCTTTTAAATAGTTTAAATATTTTTTTTAAGTTTAATTTACTTTATTTCTTAAATTTTATACTTTAAAATAAATATTTTTATTTTATTTTTATTTTTTATCATCATTTTTTTATAATATCGTTTCAATGTGAATGACGTGAACTTGTAATTCACATTATGATGATATATTTGATTTTTTTGGATGATAATTTATCATTTATTAATTTACTTTATAGTCATCAATAATTTGATCACTTATTTATATTATATTTAATCACAGTTATTTTTTATTTTTTTTTCTTACAAGTTGCAAATCATTAAGTAATATATCATCATTTATAAAATCAAATATACTTATAAAAAAAATTGTTTTACATCGGTATTCTAAAATTTTATCTTAGATTAATTTGATTTACTAAATGGAAAATGATTGATAGTCCAAACTTACTATCCAACATTCTGTCTGAATGAATAAAATAATAATTTAAATTATAAAATATTAAATTAAACAATTATTTTATAATAAATTTATTAAAAAATATTAATATTTTAATTTTCATAGCATCCAAATTTTTGAAGGCTCTAGCTTTACTCTTTACCAAATAGATAAGTAAAACCTGATAAAAAAATATTTTTATCAAAAATTGAACGTGATGAAAACATTCAACCTTGAATTTAACATATTAATCACTTATGCATTAATTTTTTTATTAAAAAAATAACTTCAAGGAACTAAAGCAGAAGTGAATACACCCTTAAATTACTTTTTTTTGGGATATTTTTTTATCCAAGAATGTAAGTTAAAAGGCGTCAAACAGTCCATACTCATGTTTCTTTCCGATCCTTTTACGAAGGATATTTATTGAAGCTTATCATATTTATTGAAACTCGATCTCAAAATAACTATAGTATAGAGAAACTTCCAGCAGAGGATCCAAGTCCGTTATTTATTCAAATGTTTTTATTTTATCTCAGTTAAAATTTATTAATAATCATTTTTCTATGATATATTTATGTATTTATATAATTTGGGTCTTTACATCAATGCCAGTTGATAAGCATAAAGGGCCGAGAAAAAGCCCAAGGCTCAAAAATCAAATGTGCCAAAAAGGCTAGAAAACATCTGACCCAACTTGGTTCACTCATGAGAACCACGGCTTCCGGGCTCTATGTACAAATCTAAGACAAATTAAAAATATCTATAAAAAAAACAAAAGTTGGCATAAAAAAATGAAAATGTAAAGAAATCACTAGCATACAAATAGGTGTGTTTGAATTTTATTTTCAAAAATTAGTTTTCAGTTTTTTAAATGTAACTGAATAAGAGTTCCTAGATAACTAGTGAAAAGTGGGACAAAGCACATAACAGAATGTGAAATTGAGGGAAACCTTGAACAGGAAGAAAAGAGGGGAAAAAAATGAGAAAACATCTCACAAATTTTTCTGCCGTTTGGTTTTCAAAACATCTGTTTCAAGAAAATTTCAAAATAAAATGGATTTTTGATAAAAAAATAAATAAAATAAAATAAAATTACTAAGCAGTGTGAAATCATTTTAAAATTAATTTTTGAAACTTAAAGGTAAAAAGAGAATTTAACATTCCCCTTTTTTTTAGAAAAAAAAAAAATTAAGCATGCCCTTAATATCACAATGACCTGATATTTCTTTTTAGACACTTAAGAGTTTAATTCAGTTATTCTTTTGGGCTAAAGTCTAATGATGTTGTAGGTCCATTGACCCACTCCTCAAATTAAATATTTTTAAGAAAAGAAAAAGAAAAATAAAAGAAACTACATTGGTGAAAAGGAAAAAGAAAATTAAGGAAAGGTCGGGCAATAACATGAAGGCCTAATCCAGGAGGGTGAGTTCTCCATATCTTTAAGCAGTTTATTATAGTAAATCTTAAGTTGATTTATCCATTTATGTGTCGTCATAAAATAATAATAATTATTACAATTTAATTATTTATTTATTCATTATTTACTATTATTAGAATTTAATTGAAGTACAGTAATCTTTTATTATCTAATAATAAATTAATATGAATAAAAATTATTAAATTTAATAATATATACTTTACAGATCATGTTTAAGGCAGTTTTTAATTGATTATTAATATAAGAATTTTATATTAACAATATATCAGAAATAAATTATTATTATAAGATATTCTCTAGCTGAAAAGGAAACATCAATTTCTTTTGATTCCAAAGAAATAATTAAAGTGGATATAATTTTTTCAACAGTGCCTTTTATTTATTTATTTATTTATTATATATGATGAGGAATTTAGTTCTGGTTTGTAAATTTAAAAGCCATGTTATATAACCCCAAATCTCTAAGATCCTGTAGCTAATTTAATTTTTTTGGGTCAATTATTCTGTCTTGTCTGGACAAAATATATATGGTTAAGACTTAAGATGGTTAAAATGAATTACAGTTTCATTTTCATCTTGATAACATTGAGTTTTAGGAATGAGATGAAAGTATAATTTTGATTGCACCAAATTCTGTCCTCGTTGTCCCCGTTCACGACCAAAACAGCATACAATTCAAGATACGGTCTCTTTGGGCCGGATTGTCTCTGTTTCTTGGTGTTCACCATCTTTTTCTGCCTTGGTCCCTTTCATGTCCTCTTCTTTCTTCATCTCGTTATCCTTTTCGTGGAGGCCACAGTTACACATGTTAACACGCAGGGGCAGATGCAAAATTAAATTATTAAAATTCTATCCACACTTCTCTCTAATTCATCACATTTTTATCAAAAGAACCACGACAATTATAGCCACATCAGAATAATGTTGTTTATAATGCGACATGAAAACCGACAAGTTATTTTTAATGTTACACACTGTAAGTAAAAATGGGTGGAAGAAATAACATGGCATGAATGAAAGGGGAAGCACGTGACACGTATGCCCAAAATCATTATTGTAACAAGGGTTAAAATACACTTTCTAAAATTTATTAAAAAATATAAAATTATTATTCAATTTTGTTAAATAAAAACAAGACCTATAATATTTTGTTTAATAATTAAAATGTTTTAGTTAGTGTGATAGTAACATTTCTCTTATTCTAATAGTTAAGTAAGGTGGCTGAATTGATGCCAAGCATATTTGAGTTTACAAATAACTGAAGTCTGAGATCTCCATTTGCAGGCCTCCATAGTTATTTTAAGCAATATTAGATGGATAGTGAAAAAATGTTCGAATCAAATGACGCCACAAAATTAGCTGTTGTTAGCTGCTCTTGATTCAATTTTGCACAACAGTCCACTTAACAAGACACAACAGAAAACCTCCAACTCTTGACTCATTTTTTGTACACAAACTTTTCTTTTTTTACCCAAAAGACAGAATCTATGGCTTTTGTTTTCTCATTGTCATATTCCAAGCTAACGCTTCTATATCACATTTGTCTCTTAATTTCATCTTTTGCTGTCAATTCCATGTTGACTTGAATTGCCCTTAAATACTCTGCTTGCAGGCGCTACTATAGTAAAATAAAAAATAAAAAAACACTATTTTTTTTATGCATTTAACATATGTACATGAATAGTGGAATTACATATTATAGGGGACAATGGATCAAACTCGAACTGTGAATACTCAAAAACATCTCTTGGATTTTATTAATTTTATAAAGCACAACTCTATGAGTTTATTTGTTTTTAAAATACTTACTATAAAAATTAAAAATTTATCGTACAATAATTTGTAACTAATACAATATATATATATATATAT